ACCGAATCGGTTTTTTTGTTTTTTTGCACAGCTCATTTATATATATGCAGGTGCCAGGTGATCTGCTAATATCCAGTTTATCCTCACCCCGGGTGAGAATAATCTCTCCGTTTTAAGATATCATATGTTTCATATGATTTAGATGCACTCGACTTGTCTGTAGGTCAAAAAGTGGTCAACTCAGGAGCAACAGATTGGCATTAAAACAATTTTATAGTCTGATTTATAGCACTGTTTTCGCTTTGGCTTTGGTATTCTTATTCAATTCATTCGTTTATCATGTTAGAATGTCATTTATGACCTTTTTGAAATGTGTTACAAGTCACAAGTGTCGTAAAACTCTTGCTAAAAATGAATAAGTCACCGTCATCTTCATTATTCTCAAGTTCATAGTGGCCATTGTCACTGTCATGATATATAATTTATCTGCTTCAGTTTGAGTGAACATCTCCATGGACATGAGGAGACAGTTTATCACCTCAATATTCATACCAACATTATGCTACCAGTGCCAGACCTGGACATTACAACCCATGGAAGCAAAATCACTGCATGCGAAATTCTGCAAAACTTTCAATGTCACAAGACGAGACAGGCAGAGAAATGAAGAAGTAAGAGCAGCTATCGGCATGGAGTCCTGCCTGCATTACATAGAAAGACAGAATAAAATGATTTGGCCTCCTGTTATGTATGTCACCTGGTCAGCCAGCCTCGAGAGCCTGCAACACCAAGCACTTGGGCTATAAAGGAAGAGGGAAGCCACTCAAAAGGTGGATCTAGGGTGTCAAGTCAAGGAAACCCTGAGAAACTTAAAATCACAACTGAAAGAGCTGCGGAGCTGGCCTACCATTGAAAACTGCATCTCCCCTGGAAGCTGAACGACGACAGAGGATGAAAAAGTAAAAGTAATGCAAGTTAGAGTGTCTCATGTGGTGTAGCCTATCTTGGGTGATAAAGGCCGAGAGCATGGACTGTCACTGTGGTGTGGAAAAGTTTCTCATCACCTACACATATGTTACAAAATCTCCTCAGCTTTGTGTTGATCTGTTCAAGGGCTTACTTCCTACTCCAAAAGCTAGCATGCAGGATGTTCTTACAGTGTAGCACGGATAGCAGTTCTTGCAGGTCTAGCAGATCTATGAAGTATAGTTTTCTACGGGTTGCCCTCCTACTAGGCCTATGTTATTTCACAAACTTTTTTTTATTGTAACCTCTCATTACACCGTCATTTTCTCTGTCCCCCCCTCCCATTCGTTCTACTTCGACCTTGATGGTAAGCGGTCTAGGTATAGCCTATATGTCTATAGAAAGATCATTCATCTACCCTGTCCCTTCTTCTCCCCCCAGTCGTAAATCTATGGCAGGATCTTTAATCTACCGCGTCCCTTCTTCTCCCCCAGTCGTTCTACTTCGACCGTGATGACGTGGCCCTGCCCGGGTTCTCCAAGTTCTTCAAGAAGTCCTCGGACGAGGAGCGTGAGCACGCCGAGAAACTGATGAAGTTCCAGAACAAGCGTGGTGGTCGTGTGGTTCTCCAGGACATCAAGGTAAGCTTTGGTGTGCTTGTGTTGTGTTGTTTGGTCCCGTCTCCTTGTTTCCCCTTACAGTACCGTGCAGTAAGTTAAAAGTGTGGTCATATTTTGGCTGAGTTTTCTCTGTTTTGGAAAAGTTATAATCAAATATTTTCGTTGTTTGTTTTTTTTTTTGTTTTTTATGTGTAAGGAAAATGACCCCAGAAATTTCCTCAGCTTTGTGTTCATCTGTTCAAGGGCATACTTTCTACTCTAAAAGCAAGCGAGATGGATGTTCAAACAGCATAACACGGATACCCTGAATTGGTTGGGACTGGCCTCGGTAGTTCAAGGGATCCGTAGTTGAAGGGATATCTTGCCAATATAAAGAGAGGGGGGGAATGGGACCGCAGGCACTGTTCAACGGACGCATAATTTCGAGTTTTCTGTGTTCGCCCTATCCATGTTTTACTGTAAGCAGGGATTTGCCATAGATTTTGTGGTGGGAAGTGCAATCAAAAGTCAGGCCAGCCCTCTTGCATTGGAAAGTTTTTAAGCCATTGCCCATCCCCCAATCCATCTTTGATTCTGCAAATTTTTTTCAGTATTATCAGGGTACTTTGTTCACTCGTTTGCATGGCTCAAGAGATCTAAATCTCTGTTGATTTTGTTGCTTTCCTTAGTGATAGTGTGTAGGTTGTTGGCAGGTACTCTGATGTGGTTTGCTCCTTCTTTTCTATCAAACAACTCACGTCCTGATCTCTCCTCCTTCTTTTTTGTGTTTGTCACTCTCTTGTAACACCTAATCTTCAGCACTTGTGTTGCAAGTGCCGTAAAACTTACTATAACTTACTTAGTCACAAATGTCTGTTTATGCATTGAACAGAAAAATGCGTATGATATACAATTGTTTTAAAGTACTCGCCCCCAGTGCCCGTGGTAGGCAAATTTATTGTGGTTACTATTGTCAGTGATGCTGCATAAGAAATGAAACTGAAGCTCTTTCGCACGTGGGGCGAATTTTTAATTCTGTTTTGTGATGGAGTAATTAGTCAGATGAAGAACAGATTGGGCTTCTAAATGTGGTTTTTTTTCTTTCATGTATTTGGAGTAATAGTAATATAAGTGCAGTAGTAGTGTCGTCAATTTACAGGAAGGTTATTCACATGATGAAATTCCTGTTACCAGGAAAGAATTTCAAATCCCCAGGGTTTTTTTTTCCCCTTTGTATACTTCTTTCCACGAAGTGCAACCTAACTTTAGGTCAGACCTGCTCAACACGAAGAAGTTGTGTTGTCCCTTGAAGTTCTTGTTATCAGGGTTTTAGTTCTACTGTAATTGTCATTTTGCTGTGGTTTCGTTTTCGTGAAGGTTTTGTCTGTGTTGGAATTTTGTTGTACATACCGTATTTCATTAATGTTTTGTTTCTATGCAGAAACCCGACCGTGATGAGTGGGGCACAGGCCTGGAGGCCATGCAGGTGGCGCTGCAGTTGGAGAAGAGCGTGAACCAATCGCTGCTCGACCTGCACAAGGTCTGCTCCAACCACGAGGATGCTCAGGTACCTGTGCTTACATCATGTACTGACTAGATAGCCCTAACGTTTTGCTCAATATTGGAAATTTTTCACCATACAGTGAAACCTTTCTATAATGACATTGTCGGGACCAGAAAAAAATATCGCTCTAGAGAGTTGTTATAGAGAAGGAACTAAAAATATTATGACTGATATTAAGAAAAAAGGGCACCACGTCGATATATGAAGAATGTCGTTATAGAGAGGCTGCACTGTATGTAAGTGATTGGCAGATTCTCTGGTGTGGTTTGCTCCTTCTTTCCTATAGATCATCTATTGTCCGTATGCCTCCTCCTTTTTTGTGTATGTTACTCTCTTGTAACACATCTATTCTTCGGCACTTATTTTACCTTAATGTGTTCCAAGTTCCGTAAAACTGATACTAAAACTAAAACTTCACATGATATGTCTGTATCCTCTTGGAGGGGTTGGGGATACTAATCATACTTGTGGCAAGCAATTCAGAGTTATTTCTCTCTTTGAGAGTGGTAAAGGCCATAAAAATATTTCAATGTAGGCCTACCATGATTCTATTGTGAAATCATTACTGCCCTTGTCATCATTCGTAAGGGTCATGGTTCAGTTCTCTGCCTTCAGAATAATCATTTTACCATGCAGCAGGGTTTGAATTGGTACTAGTACTGACTGAAGTGTCTGTAGGCCAGTCCCAATGGGGGAATATTAACATGTTCTTATGCACTGTAGAATTGCAAATGGGCTGATTTATCTATGTCATTCTCATACTGTGCCGGAACTACAGAGGGGGAACTGCTACTTTTTCTTTCCTCGTCCTCTCTATCGTCATTTTTCCTCTACTTCTTTAGAATGTTTATCACTCTCTTGTGAACTGCTATTTCCGGGGTGCCTTGATAGTCGAAGCAGAATTTGTGCTGTTGAGGCTGGAGAGGTGAGCAGAGAAAGCCTGATTCCCTTTTAGACTTCTCTGTTGATATCCACTCCTTGGCGCTCGTATGTCCTTATGCAGTTGTGAGCGCCGTAAAACCCTCTACTATAAAAAAAAAACCCCACCAAAGAAGCTCTACTAAAACTAAAGTAAACTTTGTGATGTTATTGCCCTGGCACGTCGTTTCTTTCCTTTCATCGTATCTGTGTGTCGTAACGTAAGGTCTGTCTTTTCCCCTTTCTCTACACAAAGGTAATCTTGTCTGTGTGCTTCTCTGTAATCAAACTCAACATCTACGTCTGAATGGGTGGTTGGCGGGTGCTCTGGTGTGGTTTGCTCCTTCTTTCCTATCAAACATCTATCGTCCTTATCTCCCCTTCTTTTTTTATGTTTGTTACTCTCCTGTAACACCTCATAATCTTCTGGCGCTCATATGACCTTATGCAGTTGCGAGTGCCGTAAAACTCTTACTAAAACTAAACTAAACTACATCTGAAGTGGGAGACTTATGGTGTTCCTTTTGTGTGTCCTCAGATGGCCGACTTCCTGGAGTCTGAGTACCTCGCTGAGCAGGTGGACGCCATCAAGGAAATCGGTGACCACATCACCCAGCTGAAGCGGGTCGGGCCAGGACTCGGAGAGTACATGTACGACAAGGAAAATCTGGGCGAGTAAGGTGCCAGCCGCGCCAAATTGGATCTCCCCTTGGGCATTGACAGGAAGACGCGCGGCATTCTAGAGACAGCCCTTGTGTGATTTTTGCCATTTTTGTCAACTTCATTCTTCTCGGAAAAGAAACAGCTGTCAGGTCTTTAACAATTTTACTGTAGGAATTACAAGTCCTGGCTTTCAGTGTTGTATTTTACCTGTTAACAAAGTACATGAAGAGGATTTTTTTTTTTATTATTGTACTCTTTATCTGTGGAATGCACACATTGGAAAGTAATTATCCAGCTTTACAAAGTCTCCCATTTTTGCCAAGATCTTTTGTGCATTTTTATTCATCATCTCTTATTGTTGCTGTGATATTATTTGAGTTTTGTAAGCATTTCCACCAAAGTTACAACTTGTGTTTTAAAAGTTTTTGAGGAACCCAAGGGCTGACCTCCAAATAAAAAAAAGTTTTCTCTTGAAATATTGTCTTGTGAAGTCATTTATTAATTTTTTCAACAAAATTTAGGGAGTTAGGGTGAAAGTTTTTTGGGGGAAATTGTGGCGCTTTACACTGTCTGTCAAGATTTATGATAGAGTAGAGCTGGGACTTTTTGAGTGGGTGGTTGGCGGGTGGTCTGATGTGGTTTGCTTCTTCTTTCCTATAAAACATCTATCATCCTTTTCTCTTCTTTTTTTTATGTTTGTTACTCTCTTGTAACGCCTCTAATCTTCTTGCGTTCATATGACCTTATGCAGTTGCGAGTGCCGTAAAACCTCTACTGAAACTAAACTAACTGGGACGTAAGCCATTACCGTGCCCCTGATCTCCTTGCATCACTTGCAATTTTGGATTTGGACCCGTGTTGAGAACTAGAGATCACTATACAGTGGAGTCCACTTATAACGAGTCCTGAAACAACGAGAAGTCTGCTATAAAGACACTATTCTAAAACCCCGTTTTTTTCCCTTTATCTTTGTAAATAAAATACTGCTATTGCGCAATCAGACAGTCACGCGAGTCGGTTATAGCGGATTAATGCTGCTGCTGTGCACTGCACAAAGACCAATTAAACATATAAAACCTCGCCAGTTGAGAAAGTTGTTGGTGATCCAGCGAAACAAAGAATGGGAGAGCCCACACGAACCAACAATGAAGGCCGGAGCGAATGAGTGGGGAGGGTGTGGCATTCGCAGACAAGCAGAACGCTTCGCGTGATAGGCCAGCCCAGTCTAGATTATCTAAGCCTACCGTTCCTCTCACTTCTCTGGTGCGGGATGGAGAAGTCACAATGCTGTGATAGATGGAGTGAATGTGTGACGTGCGCAAGCAGACGCAACGCACCACAGGGTGTGGTGGGGTGGGGAACAACACAGCGGGGAAGTTGGCCTAGAGCCAGAGCCCCTTCTTTCTGATTGCCAAAGCCAATTTGTCAACATTGCTAGTTCTAGAGAAAGAAACCTGATTCGATTTTTTATCAAGCAAGATCTAGAGATCATGTTGAACAAAATCATCATCAGGGGAAATACAAAAAGGAATAAACAGAACACCAAAATCATAGATTAGGCCTACTTTACTATTTCCCTTGAATTTATTACTGGATCCCTAATAACGAGAATCTTGCTATAACGGACATTTCGCACTGGTCCCCTCCCTCTCGTTATAACAGGATTCCACTGTACAGTACTATTAATCAAAACTGTCCTGACTTCCTTGAAACAAGTGTCTGTGGTATAGCGTATGGTGCTTCGCTGTCGCACACAGGAGACCTCTGTTCAGTTCCTAAGTAGGGAGGAAAATTTTTATGAAGTGTTTTGATCTTTCTGCTAAGATGTTGTGCATAGTACAATTGTAGATGGGCTGACTCATGTCACGCTCATAACTGTGCCTGATCTACGACAGGGAACTGCTGTTTGTTCTTTCCTGATCCTTATTATTGTCATTTTCCTCTACTTTTTTTGTATTTTTGTCACTCTCTTGTGACCTACTATTTCCGGGGTGCCTTGATAGTCGAAGAAGACCTTGTGCTGTTGAAGCTAGAGAGGTGAGCAGAATAAATCTTCTGTAACTGTAAAGACTTCTCTGTTGACACCCACCCCTTGGCGCTCATATGACCTTATGCAGTTGCGAGCGCAGTAAAACCCTCTACTATAACATTTTAAAGAATGCATGGATAAACATCTGTAGTTATTTGACTGGATGTCCCACCCACATGGATGCAAGTTTGTTTCACGGCTTGTGGAGTTATAGCATTAAAGCATAATCTGTGGGCCTTCCAGAAGTTAAAATGTCTAAATGGATAGCAACCTATGATTAAAAGGCTAGTGTTCTGAACTCGCTGCAGTAATTTATATATCTGCACTGAATTATTCATCATCATCATGAATGCCTTTCACCCCTGGCAGGGTATAGGCCGCATACAAACTCCTTTCATTTATCTCTGTCCTGGGCCATCTTACCAAGCTGGTTCCAAGTGAGCTTCTTCTCTCTCATGTCCCTTTCCACCTTTCCACAGCAACTGAGAACTTCATTCCCAAAGGGGGGACATTTCTTGTTCAAGCATAGTAGAATTGTAAATGGGCTGATTCATGTCACGCTTATAACTGTGCCTGATCTACAACAGGGAACTGCTGCTTTTTCTTTCCTAATCCTTACTATTGTCATTTTCCTCTACTTCTTTTGTATGTTTGTCACACTCTTATGAACCACTATTTACGGGGTGCCTTGATAGTAATAATAGTCGAAGCAGACTTTGTGCTGTAGAAGCAAGAGAGGTGAACAGAGTAGGCGTACGTCTGATTCCCTGTAAAGACTTCTCTGTTGACCAGGGGCGAAGGCTGACTTGTTTGACATGGTAATCAAAGTGAAACGGGACCAGATATAGATCTATATGGCCTGTAGATATCACACAAGAATCTTACTCGAGGCGGCAACTCTGACTGAGTTGTAAATGAAAACAAATCCGGAATTCATATTGTATGTTCAACCGCCAAAATAATCGGGAAAGTATCTTATTAAATATCAGTTCCAACTAAAATTAAATTAACTTACACAAAGCAAAGAAGCAGAGATGTCAGTACTAGATCTATATGTTATAAATCTACCAGAGAGTCTAACTCTTTGGTAGAACATGACAATTATCATTTTTTAAATTTCACATTTGGCTGTTTTTGTTAGCCTTTCGCGGCCAGGAGCTGGTGTCATAATCGAGGTCACGATCTGATTATAGGTCAGTAAAAAGTCGAGGAAAAAAAACAAGCACATGCAGCAGTAAAGAGATTGTTAGGAGTTAGTTCCCCTCACATTTGTGAGGTAGACTCGGCCAGTGTTCGTTAGCTTACTTAATCAGGGCTTGGGATTGATTATAACTGTGGTCCCAAAGGGGTGAACAGGGTATATGTGGCAATGAAACAGCCATGACTGCTATGCACATGTTCCCTCAACTGTATTGGTAGACTCTTCCAGCTTCACTTTAAGCTTACTTAATCAAAGCTTGCGACTGTTTATGGAGTGGCCCGAGAGGGGTGAGGAGGCTATTTATGTGGCCGTGAAACCGTTTTGAATGTTAGGCATACTCATTGTGGATTACGAACCTCTTTTTACTTTTAATTTAAGAGGTTTACGTTTAAGGATGAATTTGACAGCGACAATGTTTCAAAATTAGGAAGGGAAGCAGTGATCATTTGATTATATAGACGCTTCGCCCCTGCACTGTTGACATCCACCCCTTGGCGCTCAAATGACCTTATGCTGTTGCGAGCGCCATAAAACCTCTACTAAAACTTATGATAAGCCAAGAAAAGTTTAAAAAACCAACCTCTGACTTTCCCAGGGTTGTGAATACGATTCTTGCCTTTAGGTCTGCCTACTGTACAGACCGTACTTGTCAGAAACCCAGTAAACCGACACCTTAAAGTTAAACAGAGCAGTAAAGTACAGCACAGCGTTAGGTAATGTTCCAGGGTTACATCACAATAAATCTAGGGCACACACTCCTACATCTTGCATCTGGTCCAACTAGGCCTACACACCGTTTCAACGCTTTAACCCTATCCGTACGCCCTGGGGGTCATTTTGTACCCCGGGGTTGTATTCTTTACATTTTAGAATACTTCTTCTAGTGCGAAGATCTCTTTGAAACTCAGTATTTCTCAAAAAAATCATTTGGACAGATTGCAATAATGTATAATTATAATATGCAAAGCGTACGGTTCGTATTAACGAGTAAATTTCCTCTTTAAAAGTGGTGTCACAGAGTTCCCCACGTCGTATGGATACGATAGTAAAACACGACGTACGGGTCTATGGTTAGGCCGACTCTGACACGTAATTACACCTGTATAATGAATGGGTTAAAAAACAAAAGCTAAAACAAAACAGACATGGGCCATCTGTCGTCTGAAGCTAAGATTGTTTGTGACCCAACCTGTGGACCATGGAACGCGTTTCACGAGGACAAAAAGAGGAAAGGGGGGGGGGGGGATTGCCCTTGTTGCATTTAGCTTTAGTAAGAGTTCTAGTTTTACGGCACATTCAACACAATAAGCTATTAATCTAAGTCACTAACATGACGTTATTGGATGACGTCATGTATGTTTGTGACATGTGTTACAAGAGAGTAACAAGCATACAAAAAAGAAGGAGGGGAGATAAAGACGATAGATGAGAGAAAAGAAGAAGCAAACCACACCAGAGCACCCGCCAACCACCCAGTACAATTGTATATTGTAATTAATTGTATGCATATATCTATTATTATTATTATTTTTACTATTATTTATGTGTCATCAACAATACGTTTGGCCATCGTATGTTGCTGAGTCATAGCGAGTAGATACGTTTTGTAACATGCGTAGAAGAACAGTTTGTTCGCTCCGTCTACTAAAAAAGAACACGTCACGTGAGATGTATTATGAAACGTCTGATTTCATCATAATTAATTCACATCGCATAGAGATAGATCTAGATCTAGATCTACTACACTTATGATCGGCGTTCTTGCGGAGTGTGGGTGACGAAATCTACAAAGTGTGACGTGAGAAATAAGGTAATCAATTTAATGAGGGCAAAATAGCCTACTGCTCTGCTGAACTCTCTATGCATTTACAGATCTCTTAATTTGTTTAGGATGTATTGTTTCTCGAACACACTGGGTGCGGTGTTTGTTTTGTTTTTCGTTGTTGTTGTTTTTTTTGTTTTTTGTTTGTTCTTGTTGTTTTTTGTTTGTTTGTTTGGGTTGTTATTGGGAGGGGG